GACGGGCCGCGTGAGACCCAGGCGAGTCCCAGGCGTCCTGTGTTGCGTGCACTTTGTACAGGGCGTGTTTGGGGCCCGTGCGTGTCTGAGCCCTGTCCTCCGTCAGGGCCCACATGGGCGTACGTAACAAGGCTTGCTTCCTCTCGGCTCAGACCGGCTCTGAGGCCGAGAGGACCAGACCGTCTTGGTCAGAAGAGCCCAAAGCAGCGCACAGGCCTGGCCCCGAATGGCCTCGCCTGCAGCTCCCACGGCTGCTGGGCGGAGTGTCTCCCAGCACCAGGCCCCTGTTGATGGCTCAGACTCCCCGGGGGCAAGGCCTCCCCAGTCGCTCAGGGCCCACGGTCCCGGGTGTGGCCAGCCCCGGCCCCTGGCCAGGCTGGGGTCCTTTCCCCCGTGTCCTCTGGCTGCCCAGAGCCAGGCCCTGGATTCTGGTCATAACCCCCTGAGTGCCAAGGGGCGATCGGATGTCCCTCTGGGTCGGGAGGGAGTTACGGGCAGGCTGAGTGTGAATTCCCAGCGGGTGGCTCCTCATTGTTGGCGACCTCAAAGCACTGTGCCCGCCCACGCTCCCGTCCCCCTCCTGTGGCAGGGAGTCTCATCCGGGTGAGGACAGACGTCCCCCCCAGGGGTGCCGTGGCTCTCAGAGCCTGGGAGTGTCCCCCACACCTGACCCGCAGCCCGGGCTGACCTGGTCACAGCCTGGGCTTGGGCAGCGCTAGCCCCTCTGGTCCTCGTTGCGACCAGGGGTCCGGCCCGGGCTGTCCCCGTGGCACAGGTGACGGTCCTGAGGCACAGAGGCCGCGTCACCGGGCGTCACTGCTCTGCCCGTCACGTTGTGAAGCGTTTCTGAAGGTGATGCCTGTCTGGCCAGGAGCGGGGCCCTGGCCGCGGCCGTGAGCACAGACCCTGTTTTGCAGGGCGAGGCTGCAGCTCTACCGCACCCAGAACATGGGCTGGGGCGTGCGGACCCTGCAGGACATCCCCGTGGGCACCTTCGTCTGCGAGTGAGTGAGGGCACGTCTGGGCATGCTGTGTGGGGTCAGGCCCGGGGGGCGCCCGCTGGCCGACCTGCCGTTCCAGAGGGGCTGCCCCAGCACCAGCCCCCCATTGCCTCCCCCCCCACTTCCTGCCTCGGGAGGCTGTGACGTCCACATGGGGTGGCTTCCGGGGGGCTTCTGGCTCCCTCCCTGCTCAGTAGAGGGTTTCGTGCCCCATCTCCTGCCACAGTGAAAGCCTGGCTCCGTGGCCACAGTCTCCCCTGGCTGTGGCGGCGGCGGGTGACGCGCTGTCCGTCCCGCAGGTACGTGGGCGAGCTCATCTCTGACTCGGAGGCCGATGTGCGGGAGGAAGATTCTTACCTCTTCGACCTTGACAACAAGGTACTGCGTCCCGAGGGCTGGCACAGAGCTCAGTGTGAACGCGCAGCGTGGGCGCATCTGCCCACCACCCAGTGCTGGCCTCCTGTGCTCAGGGCTGAGGGACCCCGACCCGGGGAGGGGGGTGAGCCTCACCCCTGGACCCCAGCCTGTCATCCCCGGGGACAGCCCGCGCCTGCACAGCCACCGGGACAGTGACCTGCAGAGCAGTCGTGAGCCGCGTGCGAGGGGTGAGGAAGGGCCGTGGGAACGGGTGCGAGTCCCCGTTGCTTTCTGGGACCGGGGAGAGGAGCTGGCCTGCCTGGCGTCCAGCCTGGTGCCAGGTCCCAGATGCTGCCGAGGCCACCGCACCCCCATCTTGGTTCTCGTGTGGCCCCTCCTTTGTAAGGAGCCTGTTGGCTGCAGCGCTCAGGCAGGGCTGGGGAAGTGGGGTCCTCTGCTCAGGGCCCATCAGTCAGGGCCAAGCCGCAGGAGCCTGCCCCCCGACCCTCCCTGCCTTGCTG